GGATAGGCACGTTGCTAGCTGTGGTTGTACGTGGTATGTGATTTTTTTTTCTCCTTTTGTTTGTGAAACATTTTTTAGTATAATTGTGCACTCGTCTGACACATTAGAGTATCTCCATTTAACAAGTCAGGAAATGCAAGGAATGAGGGTCAGTAATAGTTCCCTTCTCTACATTTTGCCTGCATAAAAAGCTGGTTTTCCTTGATTTTATGATATGCTCCCAAATCCACAGAACTGGATGTGTAACCTTTATTCTTATTCTCCCCAGTTAGTTAAAATTTTAGCTTTTGCCACTGATATGTTCAAGATGTCTTTTGCATTTTTCAAATTAATCTTACCTTTTTTTCCCCCATGAAAAAGAGAAGAAAAGAATGCCCTAAAGAGGCAATTATTTTCATTACAATCCAGAAGAATGGAGAAGTTGAGAAAAATCAAAATATTTGAAATATGTTAATTTTTGTAGGTAATGTTTATTTGTTACAGTTGGTAGCAAGGAAAAAAATAGGTTGTCTTTGTTTTTTATAATGAAATCAAAAGAAAAGAAAAAAACCCCACAAATTGTGGATTCGAGAATAAGGCTCTAGACAGAGTGTTGGGATGTTTGGGTACAGCAGCAGTACCCCAAATACCCTGTAGGATTTAGGCCAAGTTGTTTTATTCCTCATTTCCAGCAGTTCTTTGCTTTCACCTGGGGTGAGAGAGCCACCTGCATGCTCAGACATCTCCTCCCCTCCTGGCCATGACCCGGCCAATGGCTTTTTCTCTCAAGAAGGCTCTAGTTAGTATATTTATTAAATTTGACCTACATTTTTTAAAGATGCCAAAAGCTCTGGGATTCTTAAAAAGATAGTTGACCAAACAAACAGGATGCATTATTACAGTAGGGTGAAAAAATATGTCAGTAGTACAATGCAATTATCACTTGACCTAAAAAACCCATACTGTCTTATATAGGTCACTTTTACAACATATTAAATTCCCAGAAGCTGTGCTGGTTTTGTACATTTTTCATAAATTCTAAATTCTTTTTTTTTTTCTTCTTTTTTTTTTTTTTTTTTTTTTGACACTATGTTAAGAAAATCACAGAATTGAGCCTACCCATTGGGAAAATGAGGGAGCAACCCATGAGAAAAAACTAAGGCTGGTTGCTTAATCCCCCCACAATCCAGGCTCCTCAGTGAGAGCAGAAAAACCCATGGATATATTGGTTTTCCTCCTTTAAATAAATATTTTTTTTTTCAGCAGATACACTTAGGAGCACTAAATGCAGAACATTTAAAGAAAATACAGACAAAAAGGACCATTTTTCACAGCAAAAGTAACTAAGGCCTAAATTAACTTTTAAATTCATGACCTAGATTATAGTAAAGAAAAAAAGTATAGTTTAAATTTACATATTCAATTTACATTGATGATAAAGAGAAGTTCTCCTGCTGTTAAGAGCAACGTTTCAAATTAGACCCACACTTCATGCTCTGCTGTTGAAAAAGGATTTCAAAATCGAATTTTCTGAAATGTCAGAAGTGAAATATTGCCTTTTGTGTTTGTCACAATTCCCTGTAACTCAGCAAAGAGGATATCGCCACGGTGCTTATTTGTAAAATGTGCTTTGTGAAGCTGTCCTTTGTACCCTTCTGCCAGGCAGAGGTGAAAGAGTACAGGAGGAAAGTGAAAGAAGAGTTTGGTCTTGTTAGTATTTAGGCAGATTAAGGGGAAAAAGGCTTTTGGAAGCAATTCAAGCCAAAGAACAAAAACTACTGCTGGTGCTCGAAACACCGTGAAAGCCTATAAAGTTCAAATGAAGCTACTGAAAGCAGAGACAGCATATATCCAAAATAAAGCAAGTCCGTCTCCCTGAATTTAGAGTTCACTAGTTCCTTCTTACACGTACATCAATCCCAGACTTTGCTTTCCACACGCTGGACTGGACTGTGGTCAACTGAAGGATCAATAGGTGAAAACTGGCCGATGAGTAAATAGGAGAGGACTTTGCCTTTAGAAAAAGAACAGGCATTTAAGTTATTTCAGGGTGACTTTTCTGTGTTCTTTCTTTCATGTGTGTGCTGGAGACCTTCAACTGAGATAATTTTATTTTACGTTATTTTATTTTATTTCATTTTATTTCATTTCATCTCATGTCATCTCATTGTATTATATTTTCATGTGCCTTTGGATTGGAATTTTTTGCATTATACTAGAAATCACAATCCCAGCCAATCTGAAGACTCAGTGATACTAGAGAACCAATGCGATGATCTTTTTATACAAACCCAGAGGCAGACAAAGCATAAGGAATTTTAAGTCTAGTTATATAAATGGTTATATATACACTTGCTCTTTTGTGTTAGTGAGAAAAATCCCTATTTAATTACAGTTACTGGTTTACATTTTTGAGAAAAAATGCCTTTATTATGAGTCAGAACACCTCCTTAAATTCAAGTATAAAATGGTTATGCAACGTATTGTTATGGATAGCTGTTATGTATGCACATATATATATATATTCATACCTCACAAGGAAGCTAAAGTGGGCAAATCCAATTAAAAACTAGTGGAAGCAAAAAATTACTTTTGCAAGGTCCCCTTTAAAAAGTGATCTGTGAAAATGTCTTTCTGTGAGTTCATGCATGGCTATTTGTATAGCTGTACAAACAGACCTTGGTGCCCCGACAGACAAACCAGCCCGCACAATGGAAAGCCCCTGCCCTCCCCTCTCATAAAGACTGGCACAACAGCGAGATTTTGGTGTGACCCCCTCAGTGCAAAGCTGCCTTTCCTGTGACTTCAGGAGTAGGTAATCCATGCTGGTTGTGTTGCAGTCTTCCACAAATTGTTGACTTTCCAACTGGGAGAACTCCATATGTGTTTCTCAAGGAAAGGGCATTGACCTTGCGGACGTTGATTATTTTTTTTCTTATTTTGTATTTTTCTGGAGCAAAAATAAAGGACCCATTCATAGTCGTTTCTTGCTCTGCTTTAGTGACTGAGATTATTCAGTGATTGCATCAGCGCCAACCTTGGACGGCAGTCGCGTAAGACCTAGCAGTGGAACTGTCTCTGAAAATGGCAGGAGCTTTAGCATGATCCACGGCTACTGCTCCTCTTAATTAACTTCCCCCATTATCTTCTCCTTTTTCATGCAAGAGTGAGACATCCTTATTTTACCAGCTGCAAGTTTAACAAGCCTCTTCTGCTCCTTGGGGAGAGCATGAGCCCTGTTCCCTAGAGAACTTCTTCTTCCACAAAACCCTTGTATTTGTCCTGAGCACAGACCACCTTTGTGGTGGAAATCTCTACTCTTCCTCACCATCCAGCTTGGGCTTGGGAGGCCAAAGACCCTGAGGAAAATGATGTGGTTTTGGTGTGGAAATAAATCAGTTTTTTCAGTGCGTAACTGCAGAGGGAATGAGAGGGTGGGTAGGGAGGGCAGAGTGAAAATATCTTTGGTCTTAACAGTTCCCATTTCTGATCTCCTGTAAACATCTCCCAAAAAGCATGGATTTGGACCCTGAGGATCCACAGGTACCTTTCCTCACCTTCTCCCTCCTGACTGACAGCTGAAGTGAGAGTAGAAGCCAGAAGAAGAAGAGCAAAGCCAACTGACTGTCTCTTGGGAAAAAAACCTATGACTAGAGCCGGAAAAACCTAGCTTTTACTGATGTGAGTTTGAAACCAGAAACATTCTTGTTGCTTCTGCTGCTGGTACTTTCTGTGACCGCTAATGGACAGAAAGTACTTGCCATCCATCGGTTTTTATCTCAGAGGGAGCTACCACTCTTGTGACACACTCAGTGTAAAATAGTGAACCGGCGTGTTGACACCTTACAGCTTCTTCTCTTCCCCTACCTCCTTGTCTTGAAGCAGCTCTTGCTGGAGCTGCTTATGTCTGAAGAGCAAGGCCAGGGATGTCTCTTAGGCAAGGGGTGGGGTGAGACGGAGGTCCCTTCATCCTGGCAGTGCACCATGACTGTGGGCAGTGAGGCCTTGCTGTGAGCATGAATTCACCTTACAAATAATGGAGTGCTGATTTAAGTCATCCATTGCTAATAATTAAAGACGGAGACTTAAATGTGACATATTAAAGGGCAGTTTATCCCCAGAACTTGTGGGCAGCCATGTGATCATTTCTGGGATTTGACCTGCCTGTAAATCACATGGGCGTTTTTCCGTTCTCATGAGTCAACAAAGTTATGTTTGGGGAGACAATGACCCAGTGAAGGCTTGCAAAAATGAAACCTAATGAGAGTTTCAGTTTGTTCTTTCATTTGTTTTTGTTCAAAACTAGCTCCTGCACAAACAGTTATTCCTCAGACAAATTTTTTTTCCAATGTTTTTGAGTATCCTGCCTTCTAAGACATTGTGTCTCTCCTGCAGTCTGGAATGCCTTCAGCTGATGAGTCATCTTATGTGCTTATGCCAAGAGGAGACTAATTACCCTCTGGAAAACCCCTTTGTCTTGACCATAAAGGAAAATTAGGCTGAGTAGCTCAGAGACATCCATTTTATTTCCACTTAAATTAAAGCAGTTTAATGCCTTCAAGCACTACAGATTGGGACTGAGATTTCCAGCACAGTTGCTTTGGTGCTACCTAAACCAGAAGGAGCTTTTTCTCAACTTTGCTGGACTGCAGAGATTCCTGGAGTTAGATAATGGCATAGAGAAGGGACCTGTCACTTGCATTTGCCCTCATTTAGAAGTGCTTTACAGTCATTCTTGTAGTCATGGCGTCTTGTTTGGTTTTGGGATTGCTTTTGCAGTATTTGTGGAAACTTCTCTCTGCACATGACTTGTAGTTGCTATCATGAGAAAATATTGAAGCTGGGAAGAGAATGAGTGAATAATCAAACATAAAATTGTGATTTAGTCCAGAATGTCTCTCCCCTGGCTATTAATTTGTGCATCACTAGCACGTCTATCATCACTGGTTGCACAATTTTGCAAGTTATTAATAAATAACCAGGACAGGTAATCTTTGCTGCAATGTGCTGTCACCCCATTTCTTACAACCTGCACCTCAAGGGTAGATTGACGGTGGCTGTTTGGTATTTCTGTTTTGCAGATGTTGTAGAGTTTTCCAATGGAAAGGCTGGTATTTTTAATGAGCTTTTGTTCGCTGTTGCCCAATACGCAGCAAGCACCATCGTAAGTATATTTTTTTATTAATTCTTCACTCCTAACAAATCCCTTGAAAGAGAAAGTAGGAAAAGCTAATGGTCTTGATAGAGAATCAACAAAACCTGTTTCTTGAATCACTGAAAATTTGTGTAACCTTAAATAGGTAAAAAGTAAAAAGCTTAAAACTGACCTTTTAAGACACCTTTAAGGGGAGAGATCCCCATTCAGTAACAAATAATTAAAATTATCCTACTAAAGCATGATGTTTATGATGTTATTGCTGCTTGTTCATCTTTAGTTTATGACATTTACCAGATTGGAAAATCTTGGGAAAGAATAATTCTCCTTTCTCTAATTGATTTATACATTGCAGAAAGCAAAGGTTTCACGTTTGGGAGAGCTTCAGGATTTTCCTGTCCTTATCTTCTACTTTCATGGAGGTTTACATATGTTGATACTGGTTCTTCTAGTTGGACAAGTTCCTGGGTTTGGGAAATAGATGTAACTCTTTGAGAAAACCTGTCGAGCATGTTAAAGGTCCTTCAAATTTATCTTTATCTGTAGGGCAGAGGTACCGGAGAAGATACTTGTTTTTTTCCCACCAGGACCAAGTGTATTCAGGCCATAGACAGAGGAGAGCTTTGATGAGATATTTGGACAGTCAGGTCAAACTCTCCTCCCCTTCCATGTCAGCCCACCTTTGAGGTTATCTCCAGCCCCAAATACTTATTTCTCTTCTTATGAGGTTTTAACCAGGTGCAGACTCCTGTTTGCAGTCTGGTGTTGACCTCCAGTGTGTACATTAGCATGAAAACTACGGCCCCGTAGGAACTTGATCTTGGAATACCCATGGTGCATCTTGAGGCACACTTCATCTTCAGTAAAGCACAGGCTTTGTCATCGGTGATAAAATCTTAGTGGAAACAGGGACTGAGATAGATAGTTTTTTTCTGAGGTAATTGGATGTGGGAAACACAAGGTGCTGAATGTATTAGGTGTATGAAACTGAACATTATGTCAGGAAAATACCATCACGATTCTTCGAGCCTAGATCTGGCTTGTGTGTGGCAAGCTGAGATTATGGGCAGTGTAGGCTAGTGACCATGTCTGTCCAAGCTATTGCATAGGTAAACTTCTAAACGACTAACTATGCCGCTGTAAACGCTGTAAAAAAACCATAGCCTACAGAAACCCTAAGTTTCTGTAGGCTATGGTGGAAAGCAAGCATTACGCTCTCTTTTCCGTGTGTGAAGACAAGTCTTGTGTCACATTTTCCTAGAGCCAACAGATTTTGAATGAGTGATGCAGTGACACTTTTAGAGTAAAACCCCTCCAGTGCTGTTTGGAAAATACAATGAACACAACTGAAAACGAAAACTTTCTTCTCAACATTCGAGCATTTGAATATATATAGATGCCAAACCTGCCCAACTAATGAATTAGAGAAGACAATTAGACAAATGAAAACAATAAAGATCAGGATCAAGCATTGCATGAGAGTAGATGTAACTGAAAGACAAGTTTCATCATTCGCTGTAAACTAGAAATATTAGAAAGTATTTTCACGAATGTATACGTAAAAACGATAAAACTTTTTAATGTTTATTGAAGGCTGTTCTGTTTTTCTTTCCCAAGATCCCTATGTTTGTGTGAAGACTCAGACCATCTATGATGCATTTCGCTAATCATATGGAAGCAGAGAGTTTATTTTTATTCCATTTTCATGGTTCACCATGATTATTATCAGCAAAAAAGGAAGTAAATTTGAGTTTCATTTGAAAAAAAATGTATCAGTTTTGTTCCCTTATTTCTATACCCCCCTTTTCGTTTCATAGATTTAAGAAAGAAGAAACATTAAAAAAAAGTAAAAAAAGAGGAAATTCAACCAGCCCATTCTGATAATGGTAAAACCATTTACCTTTCATTTTAGAAGTCTTCTGCAGAATAATCATTTTCCAAAGGCAGCTTGCTTGAACTCAGAACTGTTACTTGTGTGTGTGTGTGCCATTATATCATTAAGATATAGCTCTATACTTAGTTCTCTGATTTTTGGGTGTAAAAGATACTTGACAAAAAGAGGGCAAGAATGATGATCTACATTTTAAAGGTCAATAAATTAATTACCAAGAAGCACCAGAGCAGAGTTAAGAATAAAGGAAAGTAATAAAGAGAAAAAAATAAATCCCAACCAGTTTAGCTTCCAACTCAGCCCTTCCCAGGGCTGTGGTCTCACCTTCCATGGTCTCTCATTACCAGCATCTCACAAACAGTGACACCTAAATGAAGATAAGCTACTTGAAACCCCATACATATGGTTTTATAGGAAATTGATACCTCCTGACATATTAAAGCATAAGCTGGCATAATGTACATGAAGATAGATGACTTCATAGTATCAAATATGTATTTATTAATGTCTATTCATTGGATCTTAATGCATGGCCTGTTTTTTTTTTTTTCCAGAAAGTTGAGTTTATAGAACTGTCTCTGAGTTAAACCAGGCTATAAATGGCATTGGCAGCCCCTGGGACATATTGCAAGTTTTTTTCTTCCCTACCTATAGGAACTGATCTTTTGTAGGACTTAAATATGATTGTCCAGAATTTGAGGATCAGTTGGAGGACATATTGCAAGTTTTTTTCTTCCCTATCTATAGGAACTGATCTTTTGTAAATATGATCGTCCAGAATTTGAGGATCAGTTGCAGAGAAACTATCTTCTTTTAACTTCTACTCTGACGCACAAGGGGGATGGAATAGGTGATCTCCACAAGGCCTGAGCTCAAGTATTCCATGAGAGTCTATTTTTTTTTCTTTAAAATTCACATTGTTTGTACATTCTTGTATTATGTGAAAATCAGTCTATGTACTGGACAACCTGTTTCTATGTTTTAGATTTCTTATTACTGCCCCAAACGTGGTACATTTGGGCACACATGAGACAATAACAGTTCAAGTCCATGGAGCACAGCACCCTGTGCAAGTTACTGCATACTTCAAAGATGCCACAAAAAATCAGCTCCTGTCAGAGAGGATCATCTTCAACCTTAACCAAAATAATGACTACCAAGAGATGAAAAAAATAATGGTGAGTCTACCACAGTGATGTAAATGTTTTAATCTAGTGATAAAAAACACATAGTCTGTACTAGGAATATGTTGGAACAGAGACAGCATTGATCCCTAGAGACAGATATAAAACACCAATTCCAGTGACAGGAGCACCCTATTTACCCAACCAGCTAACAAAACAATGTCTAATATAATTTCAGTGGTAATTGTGAGTGCCCAACAAGCAAGGTCCAGATTTTGTGTACATGGTGATGAAAAATCTTTTCATCACTGTAGATCAGTGATGAAATTAAATTTCAAAACATTTAATTATCACCATTGTTCTGCACCACTTAAATTAAGACCACATCCATGTCTTTGGCATAGTGGCCATTTTTACAAAACAGGAGAAACCTTTAAAAATGTGCAGTCTCTCAGACCAAAGCCTGTGATGTTTCTGCAGACCTCTAAGTCGATTAATTCTTCTTTACATCCTGTTTTGCATTATTTGCTTCTGACATGATTCTTTGAATTTTGGCAGCCTTTAGTTCAGGAGTACTAGTTTGGGCTATTTAGTTGGAGTACAGCACACAGCAAGACTCAGTTTAGCTCTGATATTGATTACTCCCAAAACTAAAACCTGAGCTTTCAAGTCAGGTTCCTCTTGAGTGTGTTGTTTAGAAACATCCTATTAACCTGCAGGAGGTAAAGGTCTCATCTCATAGCCAAGATTTTAGTGAAGGATTACAGGGTGCTGCTACAGCAACCAAAGGACATGGCTACTGGAATTTAACATGGATGTAGACTGAAGAAAAGTCACTAGCCTTGAGTTATAGCCATTGGATAGAAGAATGTGTATTTCTATGGTGGAAAACAGAGGATTAGATAGTATATCTTCTTAAATAGAGATATTCACTCAAGAAGAAAGATGTAACACCCAGTAAGAAAGATATCATTGAGCATCTTCTGTTCAATGGTGCTAACAAAATTATTTAAGCACTTCAGCTCTTTTTGGGCCTCAACTGTGTGGCTCCAAAGTTACCAGGTTCATACCTGACTCTGTGGGGTTTTTCCTCTTTTCCTCTTCAGGTCAAGCCAGGGAATCTGCAACAGGATCTATTCAAGAAGAGTAATCGGCCGTATGTTCTGCTAGTCACCGAAAGCAGGGACCTTTATAAGGAGACTGTTCAAAGCACTCAGATCCTCCTGTCCTCGAAGAAAGGCTACATTTTTATTCAGACAGATAAGCCTATTTACACACCAAGTTCCAAAGGTTAAAATACAAATGCTGCATTTCAGATGTTGAATATAGATGTTACAAGGGCATGACTGGAAAAAGTAATAATGTCTTGATCCTTCCTAATGTAAATATTTCTCATTTAACCCCAGCTATCTCTGTGCTTACCAGCCAGTCCAAATTTTAAACACCTTCTGCAGCCAGGGCTTCCGCAGGGTCTGCACTGCACATTGCAGTAACCTATGTGGAAATGCCACCGGAGTCAAAAAGTCATTCTCTCTTCTAACAAGAGACAGACAAAATATGCTCCTTTTTGTTCAAAAAGCTTAATAATTACTTTCCTTTTGAAAACAAAATTATGAGAAACCCGCAAAAAATTCCTATTGCTTCTGCTTGCAACATCAGCAATAAGTGTCCCTTGCACTTGAAGACCAAAACCGTTTTGTTACTTAACAATTTAATTAACAAGAGAGTCAAGTCAGAAAGGTTCTTCAGTTTGATTGCAGACCTTGACTGCAGAAGGAATACAAAAGTGAGCAAAGCTCCCTGAGTATTTTGCAGAATTTGCTTCAAAACCATATCTGTTTAGTTGTGTGACATGCAAAGCCTATGGAAGAATGCAATTATTTTTTGAAATTTCTCAGACTTCTTTTCATTAAAAGAAAGTGTTTTGTCCTAAATTCATTAATTCAGTTTAAAGCTTGTAATAATTACTATCTGGAAAGGCCAGAAATAAACACAAGAATGTATTTATTCTTCTGTTAAACAGTAAAATACAGGATCTTCATTCTGGACAATGCTATGAGGCCAACAGATGACACAGTTACAGTCGCTGTGCTAGTAAGTATACAAAAAACCCTGTTAACAAGTGCTTCTTCAGCTCAGGAATTATGATAATTTCCACAAAAGATCCAAGAGTATAACTATAGCTATGACTCCTCTCCAGAAATCAGTATTCACACATTGTGACATATGTCTAGTCATTTTTGGCCAATATCAGGAGCATGGAGGGAAACGTAACATTGAATACTAAAGTAGGAAAGTAAGCAGAACATTTTCTCTTCTTGAGGACTAGTACATGAACTTGAGCTTTTAGATGTAAATGTTGGACACCTGGTGCATAAATTTATGTCTGTTTTCTCTTTCTCAACAGAATTCAAAAGGAATGGTGGTTAAAAAGTCAGACCGGAAAATAAAAACAGTGTTCAGTGAAAACTTTGAAATACCTGATGTTGCCGAGTATGTTACCGGTGTCCCTTGTGCATTAAAACAGTTCACATCAAAATGTCTCTTGCAGCAGAACTATCTTCAAGCTGAAAATAAGACTCTTGTCCTTGCCTGCCCTTCTTTCTGCTCTGCTCCCCTGTTTTCCTCGCTTTTTTTCTTACTGTGTATTGTCTGCTTTACCATTTCTTTAGAAGAGGAGGAGAGTTTTGCCCCGATTACACCTGGGACGCGCCACGGTGCACTGCCAACGCGTGACAGCAGGGAACCCACACGGTTGCCCTGGAACCCCCTGCCATGCAGGTGTCTGCACCTGAGCTGGTCACCCCACGCTCCCTTCTCTGACACTGGAGAGAAAGTCACATATTTAGGCTGTGATTCATCTGACCTGTTTTAGATGCCTACGTCAGGATGAGATATACCATGTCTCAGCACCATCTGTTCCTCTCCATTGTCTGTAGCGGAGCCCGAGGGGACCTACAAAGATGAAAGACTTCACAGTATAATGTCTAGAGTGAGGAGGACTAACTCCACCTCCTATTAGCAGGATCAAAACATCCAGATTCATCCCCCTTACCTGTTGAAGTACTTAAGATTTTTAACAGCTGAATTGCTTCAAAATTGTCTTTTGCTCACCATGGAGCAGACTTGAACCCGTGGTTAACACCTTTTTACCTTTAAGCACCTCATCTTGGAGACATGAGTCCAAAATTTAATGCTAATATGCTGCAATTAGCAACATTTGTCCTGGTAAGGAGCAATTTAGGGAACTGTTTAAACATCTGCTCAACCATATGACTATGTTGAGAAGAGCACTTCTGTAAGGGCTTAGTTTGAAAAGTGTAATTAATTACCTTTGATTTCAAACACTCAAGCTTTTACTTAATATTCAGTGTGTTCTTGCATGCTAGATTGACTTTGACATCACAGTGAAGATAAGCTATGGGAAATACATGATAAGTTCTCTATTTCTAAGGGGTTTTCAAAGGCAATGCATGTTACATGTGGTTTGCAAATATGTTATCTTGCAGTTCCTCATAAAGTCTTTATGAGTGTTTCCCAGGACATTTGGAAATATGTTGCTGGCTCCTCCCAGTAAAGAGAATTCTATTAATAAATTAACTTGGGATGAGATCAAAGCAAGGAAAATATTAGCATTTAGTCATAATTTAAATATATTAGCATCATAAAATATCTGAGGAATCCTAATTAATTATTTTTTGCTGAATCTGAACTTTAGGCCTGGAACTTGGAAAATTAAAGCCTGGTTTTATCGATATGAAATGTCTAATGTTTCTGCTGAATTTGAAGTTAAAAATTATGGTAAGAGAATATTTAATTTGCATTATAAACCCATGAAGTCATTACTATGTGTTAAAAGATATACTGCAGTGATTAAACCTGGTTGTAGTCAGGTACTAAGGATAAGATTCACAGTATTTCAGTGCCTCCTTGCTATCTCTGATGCACAAGAGAACTCTAGTTTTGTGTGTCTTCCACTTATACTTGAAAAAAACCCTTGTTTCTATACAGACTTAGTAACTTTAACATTTTTCAGAGAAACATCCTTTTTTGGAAGGGCTCTCTTACGGTAGATAAAAATGGAGGTGAGCTCCACTTTTAAATCATTGCAATTCTGGCTAAAGTTTTCAGTGAAGGCTAGAATGAAGAAAAATGTAACCTATTTTCTCTCAGCAGAATTCCATTTGGAAGTTGATTAGAGTTGTTCCTGTACTCAGAGAAGCTTTTTAAAAGAAAAGTAAGGGTACTGTGGAAAAAGCAAAAATTAGAAATTAAACAATTTGGAGGAAAGAATAACTTGATTTATTATGCTTTCTTGTAAAATTTAGTGTTGTGTTGTTTGGTTTTTTTCCTAAAGGCAAAAGAAAACCTCAGGATTATATGAAAATCTCAGTTTAACAAAACTAGTTTTGCCTTAGCTTGTGGATGCAACAGAATAGCAGACTGCTGCATCCTCTGCAAACATCTACATCCAGAAGCAAATTACTCTAGGTATATATACAGCAGGAAATAGTTTGGTTTTATAGGAGCAAATTGCAGAGTAACACAGCTGGTGTTGAGGACCTCATGTCCACACTCAACCCATTTCAGGGTGGGTTTACTTCAGATTACTTTATCTCTCTCCATGACCTACATGGAGAGTTCAGACTACTTGTTTACTTCAGATAGCAGTTAGAGCTTATCTTCTGGCTTATTTTTATTGTAAAGAAATCAGTCTTGTGTGCCTGAAGACTGCCCCACTATGTGAAGCAAAGCATAATTAGGGAAGATGATCAGGAGATTTGCTCAGAGGTGCACTGGTGATGAAAACTAAAACATCTTCTCAGTGCAGCTGCATCCTCTCAGTGGGTGTTGCCACATGCCAGAAGTTCAAGGTATGTTTGAAACTCGCATGTCATGACCTTTTGTTTTCTTTTTTTCTTGCAGAACTTCCATCTTTTGAAGTCAAACTCATCCCACTTCAGCCATACTACCACGTCTGGAATGAAAATTTTGTGTTTGATATCGAGGCAAAGTAGGTGTGCTTACAGCGAGGCTGGTTTAGGAGGCAGATAAGTAGATAATGAACTTTGCAGCTTCTTCCTTTTTCTTATTAATGGTTAACCACCTTCTGGCTTTACTTGAATCTGACTTTTATCTTATATACTCTCTGTTTCCAGTACTGATTTGAGACATCAGTGTAAAACGCTACCTGGGTCCAAGTGGTGGTGATCAAAATTGAACAAGATTTTCTGAATATTTTAGTTTGCTTGTAAAAAGGTGACTATTTAGGATTCTCCTCTGTGTTGCTAGGTAAGATTCCAGGCAAACCGATAACCTGCTTTCCCTTACACTTTTAATTTTAACATTTAGAAACATCCTAAAGCCTCAGATATTGCTATTTAATGTAATCCAAGCAGAGGTGAATTCAAGTTTGGGTATGAAATTTCTCAAAGACCAGTGAAACTGGTCTAAGAAGATAGTGCTTATTTGAGAGTAATGATGTTATGCAGAAATGTGTCCAGGTGAGTAAATACATTAATCAGAGGAGTTTCCATGACCATCACTAGAGACATGTGCATTAGTGCCGAGTCATGCAACACTGGTGTGGATGAGACATTGCAACAAAGCTCTCAGACTGTCCAGACCATGAGGCAGGGCTCAATGGAGAATAAATTATATCTGATCCCATATCAAATTAGAATGGCATCAAACATGGAGTAACTTAGAAAGTCAGAGAATGAAAATTTAATCCATCAAAATCTTTTGAATACTTTGGAAGAATTAGACTGAACCTAGACTAAGTATTTTGTGCTGTGTGGCTCTAGTATTTTTGATCCCACACTGACAGATCTAAATTTGCTATATGATCTAACAAGTGGCTCATTAAGATACACCAAGCCTTCTTGGTGTCAAATTTTCAGGTTTCTTAGGAGTGGAAATACTAAACAGCTGCCTGTCAGGAGAATGTTTTTCCTTTATTTACCACTCAGTCGGAATCCAAAATTACTAGAAATATCTTGGCCACCTTGCACATTGGGAAGATGGAGAGAGAAATCAAATAGTTCTCTGGAGACTCAGAGATGTATTTCTTTTTCACAGAAGTCACCACTCATGCAACTAGAGTTGATGACTTTGGTAGGCTATATTTATATGAGATTTCTAAGTCCAGGATCTGCATGCCAGTCATTTAAGTGAAGTGGTTCAGTGTGGCACTAGTTCAGATGTTATAAATTTGATTTACAGTTAGATTTTAAATCTGTTTTAAAGATGACTCAGTGCATAAAAATAATGAAAATGGTCTCATATTGATGAAAGAGTATGTGAAGTTCCTTCATGAAAAACAATATACTAGAAATTGGCTAAAACAAACTTAATACTGCCCTTCAGCCAAAGTTTATGTTTTCTGAAGTCAAAGAACCTCTGTGTGAAAAAATAGACATCTGACTTAGCATCTCTATGGTGACTGAATTAGAACTTGATACCTCTCTTTTTTTTTTTTTTTTTTTTCTGGAGAGGAATAAATTTTTTGAAATGAGAACAGGCAGCTGGAGACAGCTGGCCCTCGCTCATGGCTGGGAGAAATCTTTTCAGTTTCAAAGAAGTGAGGAGACTGACCATCTTTTTGCTCAACTTTATTTTCTTTGTTTCTGTGGATTCCTAATTTTTTTATATCTTTAAAGATCGGAAAATATTATCAAATACTACTAAATTGAGTAGGTTTTTAGGATATTGCCAAACATGCTGGTTAGTTGATATGGAAGAAATATATCTCCTGAAATAAGGTACTCTGCATTATCTAAATAACACTGAAATAATTATTCTGTTTATTTCTCCCTATCTAGACAAAAATATTTATTTCAGGGCAATTTGATATGTCAGCAGAGAGTCGAACACACAGGATCAGGAAGTAACATCAGACCTTCACTAAGAACAGGTTCTTAAAAAATAAGTCAGCGCCTCACGGCTTTTGAGGTTGATTCACCATGTTCCTTAAGATTCTTTAACACAAAACCAGAAATAGGATCACACAGAGCTATTGTAGCTAGTATTGTTAAACACATTTAGTGCTAAACAGTGGGCAAATTTTCTGTACAGTAATGATACCCAAGATAGTGAAAAGTGAACTCTGTATATTTTATTAAATAATCAGTATTTATTTTTCAAGCCTGTGAAGCTTATTGTATCCATTCACTTTTAATCTTTGACTATTAATGGTTTGCAATTATTTTTAAATAATATAAAAATATACACATGTGACATTGTTGGGACATATTTTAACAGTGAAGTTAGGTTCTAATAACTTACAAATTCTACAGAATAGCTTGTATAATTTTATAAAGGTATTGCATTAAGTTTCCTAGGCAAAGCCCCTTGAATGTTGCCTTTTACAAACATACATATAATTCAATAGTATAAGAATATCTTAGTGATAAGTCACATTGGACAGTTTGTGTCTATCTTGGTGGCTGATGGGGATGGCAAAGAGGAGACAGTCAATATAGAAGGCAGGAGAGGTCTAGGTGTAGAAATTCCTAATATAACATACAGATAAGAATAAAAAACCCTGGTCTATACAACCAAAGTTTGTGAGTTTGTTAAGCACTGACAGTAACTAACCTTGTATGTAATTATTTGTCTTACAGTAGCCTTAAGTTAAATAGGCATTAAATATTAGCATTGAACTATGTGAGTGCATGTGACTAAAGTATCATCACTATCATCACCATTTGTGTTTCGTCTTGTGTTTGACTCTGGAAACTCTCCAAACTGAGAGCAACAAACAAATTATTATTATTATACTCGAACATCTTTTAATACTTTTGCAATATTATTTCTTAGATGTTTTCCTTATATGAGGAATTATTCTCATACAGTAGGAGCTTTGTCTGCGTTTGAAAGTGATACCAGAAAAGATATTGGAGCCGCCGGTAGTAAGTTAAACAGTTCCAGGAAAGGTTCCTGAGCCCCAGAGCTCGGCTGCCGTCGGCTCGGCTGGTGCATGGCAAAGGCCCGGGCTCAGCCGTACAGCATTCCCCAGACAATTCCTGGAAACTCTTCCGGAGGAAACATGGACCAAGGTTCACCCCAGGTCTGCCTGTGGCAACCCTGCAGTGGAAGACAGGGGGTTCAGTAGAGCGGGCATGGCTGTGCTGTGCCAGCTGGCCCCAGCCTCCAAGACAGCACTGCGTTCATTTAATTTAGTTTAATTAACCTGGTCCAAACAGGGTTCAGTCACTAGATTTGCTACATGGACCCTGGCACTGCATCCAAGTGGAAGACTGATCCTTCACCCCCCTCAGTTCTAGCAGGATTTATTTCTCATCTAAATTCATCTCTGGCCAGTTTATACCCTGTTCATCTTCTCGCCATTGTCCTTGAGCTCTTCACCTTCACCATGCTCCTCATGCCTTTCCTCAGTGCACCTTGAGAGAGCAGACAGAACCCTGTATCTACCGCCTTTGGCTTAGCTGAGCAAACTCAACTCTTCTAATCTCCTCTTGATTGCCTTCACTTCTTTATTTGGTTCAACTGAATAATTACTAGCTTTAGTCATGATTACTTGATATTGTGATATGAAGTGATATCAGATAATTGGCTTTAATATTTTAATCCTTTCTAAAGCTTTCTCTGTACGTTATTGCAGCACTCAATTTTGAGTTATGGATTGTGCAACTCCTCCATATATACTTCACTACTCATTAACATCAAAATTATTTAAGAGGAAAAAATGGGGTTGAATAACTGGATACTGTTCTTCTGTCTATTGGAAAAAGTCCTAATGGTGCTACGCAGGCCTGCCTGACTTTCATCAAAATCAGCATATGGAATTCCTGATAAATGAACTTATTTCTCTGAACTGGTCATGCATGTAATGAACAGTTATTTGGTATATTGACTGTTGTTTTCCCCAGTTATTAGTTCTGGCATTTTCAGCAGTTTTCATGAGAACTGCCTCTCAGTTAGTTTCATTTGTATAGATCAGTGCTGCTGATCAGGCCAATTTGAAAGAAACAGTTTAAACAAAAATAAGCCATTACATAACTGAGATGACGCAGGATTTCCACAAGCAAAAGACAACACCATGGTCATGACAGGTCTGATGTAGCTCGTTACACGCTGTGATACAGGATGATGCCGTCTCCCAGGGTTTCCTTGAGTAAGGAACCTCCCAGGTGCAACAATATGCCCTGTCCTCTCTCTCCATGACCTACATGGAGAGTTCAGGGGTGTTCTGGCCAGATACCCATCTGGTAAATGTTTCACTTACAAGAGGTTCATATGCTATGCTGCCTAAATCCATAGGAGAGACATGGGGCAGAGGGTGTCTACTCTGCCTGGTGCAGGTATTAAAGTGCCAGTAAGTAGGATCTGTCTCTGGAGGTCTTCAGAGATACCAAATATTTCATATCTTAGAGATTCTTCAAGACATGGTTTAGTGGGTTTAGCGGGCATGGTGGCATCGTTGGGCATGGTGGCATCAGGTACACGGTTGGACTTGATGATCTTTGCGGTCTCTTCCAACCATAATGATTCTATGATTCTATATCGGTCCCTGAGACAATTCTCTGGCCCCCTGTTTAAAATGCTCTGCTTATGAGGTGTCGCATACAAAGGAATTAGCTGTTCATCCAAACTAAATAGACTGGCTACCTCCCTTCCTCCCTGTGAAGGAGATGAGTTTTGTGAGACCTCACCGTGCAGCTAAAGTTCTCATTAATTTCTTAAAAAAAAAAAAAAAAAAAAGTTTAGATTAATCTGGTGTAAATTTTGTCAGCTGATGTCTCCACATGTGACTCTGCCAATGTGATTTACTTCATATATTTCTCTGCACTTGAAACCACCACTTTGTACACAGACTGGTAAAAATATTCATCTTTGAGTTATCAGTGACTGGGACTATTTTTTGGTTTCAAACTATTAGTTACAGATGGGATGCCTACAGATACCAAATTTTATTTCAGCATAAAATGATTAGTCTGATTTATGCTTGCTTTTTATTAATGTAATGATTCATCTCCTCCCCTTTCTTCCTTCCAAAGACACTCTTATGGGAAAGGGATTCAAGGTGCTGCATATGTGCGATTTGGCATAATTGATGAAAACGAAAAAAAAGTCTTTCTTCCAGGCCTGGAACAACAGCTATCAGTAAGTACTAGCGTTCAGTGGAACTATTCCAATTTATCCCAGGAGAGCTGAATATTGACAGAAATTGTTGAAATATAGATCCGTGGAGTACAATAGTCATGCTATAAGAAACAATTTTTTAATTCTAACGGTAACAAATCAGTAAAGGGTTGTCTTCTTTATTTTTTTTTTCCACTTTCGTTTTAGATTCAAAATGGAAAACAAAGAGTTACTTTAGACACTCCACTTTTGGAAGAGAAATTAAGAAGGAGTATTTCCACTCTGGAAGGATTTCATTTATATGTTGCTGTTACCACTGTAGAAACTGCAAGTGAGTACATTGTGCCTTTGCTGACACAGCCTGTAATATTTACATTGATCTTTCTCTAGTGTAATCCTTCATGTGGGAAATCTTGTCCCGCTGGACCAATCTTCATGGCAGAGCTTGCTCACGCTATAGCCTGTGACAGTCTCTTTCATCTGACCCCCACCTGTGCACACAAACTCAATCACGGGTGGGATTCACTTATCTGAACACAAATGTCCAGTGCCACTTCAAATGTCCTGCGTAGTCCTGTGTGGTCTTCTACTGCTGCTCCAGAAGTGCTCAGGTCACCTGTAAGTACTCTCCTACAGGTTCTGTCCCATGCTAAACAGCCCTGTGAGGATATCTAAGATACCTTATTCCATCTGAAGTGGCACCAGACACATGTATGAACGCAAATAAATTACTGCCCTTGAGATCTTGCTTGAGCACTGGCCTCAGCCACGTCTTCTCTTCCCATACACACAAAGTTATTAGTTCAGCTTGGTATCTTAGCTTGCTTTGTACCTCAGCTGGCTAAGCTGTCAGTCTAAAGGTAAGGCTTATGTCATACAGCTTCAATGTGATGCAGAGGAAGATTTAGCCCTTGTGAGTCCTGCTTGGCCTTTTATGCCTTTCCAGTTTTATCAGGCTGTGATACTCAACATATGCACAAGTACAATGTAGTCCACATATCTTGGTCTTGCTGTTCATCTGGGACACGAGCCTGGAGCTTGCCTATTCAGTATTTTTTCAGTGGCTGTTTGCCTTTGTTTTCCTAGAGGACAGATAATTATCGCCACAGTTCATTACAAGGGATTTGTGTAGATATTTGCTCACAGCAGTGTTAAGCACGTTGAGTAGGTATCTTGGATATCTTAGAGCTACCCACAAGTGAGCACTGTGTTGAATTAGATGCGGTGGTCAATGGGTTGTTTGGGTTGTAGCAAGTGCTATTGTTAGTCATACGAGGCCAAGGTGAGAGGTGCAACCAGTGCTGACTTCTGAAGTTGAATCTGCGATGAAACTGACCTTTCCAACATGAGCAAGATTTTTCTCATTGTTCATAGGGAGATTGTTTCCTTTTATTTCAGATATCTGAAAGTAAGGTATTGAGTCAGGGCTCAGGCACTTTGAATAGCCAGTATAGAGAAGGGATGGGTTAAACTGCACTCCAGAGGTATCTGCTCCCATTGGCTGTAGAAGGAGTCTAGTTACTAAGCCTAGAATTACTAGAATTCTAAAAATTCCTAAAAATCCTAAATATTAAGTAGGATTCCTTAGAATCATAAAATTAAGTCAAATGCATTGCAGCTGTGCAGTTCTTTAGTATAATCTACTGTAGGTACCTACATGCACTGTTGCCACAACATTTATTGCAAGAGCAAAAGGGGCTGAAAGACCTCCTGTTACTATACCAGCATGATGCCCAGAAGATCGCATGGTGTGGCATGGTCTCTACCATGCTGTGCATGCTTCCTCTTTCCGTCGCAGACAGGCTGCCTCTACACTTGTGTACTTGCTGGGTTTGGTATTAGTTACATGCATGACAGGTCAAGGCTGGTGGTCTTTATGGACATCTCTCCACCTTGGAGTGTTAAAGTGGGAAAAAAAGGACATTAAAAGTACGTCTCTAAATGCACTTGGTTTAAAGCAAGCCATGTAACTGGGCTCTAAATGCACTTGGTTTAAAGCAAGCCACGTAACTGTTTTTTTTAGAAGTAGTTATGGGTAGTGGTTTAACTAGAAGAATCTTAGATGGGATGCAGATGCTCAAGGTTCCTTGTAGGTGCAAAGTTGCAGAAGACTATATTAGGTAATATTAACTTTCACCAATAGTCAAAAATGAAAAAAAAAAACAAACCCTCTTTCAGAAAATTAGAGATCTAAGGTCCAAACCCCTTTACTGATTCTGAGTGACATATTAACTTTCACCAATAGTCAAAAATGAGAAAAAAAAAAAAAAAAACTCTTTCAGAAAATTAGAGGTCTAAGGTCCAAACCTCTTTACTGATTCTGAGTGATTTTTATGTTGGACTTTGATGTAGCCTTCCCCCAGCAATGAAGCTCAGAAAGGGCGACGCACGGCTGCAGTGGCTCCAGTGGTACCAATGTGCTCTGTGTTTGCAGGCATCTTGTTCCAACCGCTGTGTTAGAGGAGAATTTTTATGTTGTGAGTAACAAATCACTTCGCAAGTTTCTGTGTCTGAGCTGTTGAGAGCACACCCCTGCCAGTGCCGGCTCGCTGGAGCACCGCACACGTCGCGCTGCCCTTGCACTGGGCTGTCTCTGGTTGTGCTCCCCATCTGCCTGCACCCATCTCTTCCTCTTCCCAGGACTGAGGCTCTTTGGAGAGGGATCATATTTCAGTTTTCTTCATATACACTGCTAAAAATGCAATTAATCTTTAAAACAAAAATGATGGCTCTATGGTAATATGCAACTACATAGTTATTGCTCCCATAGCAACACACACTTTGTTATTAACAGGTGGTGAGATGAGGGAAGAGGAACTCAACAATGTGAAGTTTGTGAAATCTCCTTATACTGTTGATCTGTCTAACACCAAAAAGTATTTTGTGCCTGGAGCCTCCTTCTCTGTTGTGGTATGTAGTATTTAGCTGACTGTGTCTGTTTGCCTCCATAGCAACGGATTTATATCTGCCCCATTTATAAAATCCTTATCTGATCCATTGGGAGCTCTGTAGGAGAGAGACCTTCAGGAATAGGTCCAACATGGAGCTACTGTTTGTATGTCTGGTTTGGCTCGTTTCTGTACACACAGAGCCTGAGCAAGGAAACTGAAGCCAGAAAATGCTCATTTTCTGTTCTGGAAGTCATCTATGCACTGCTGTACTACAAGGTTTTATAAAACATGTAGCTGTCTCTTCCTAACTTCCATATAAAAACATTAAAATGATAATGTCGTATCAAATTAATCCCATATCAACTTAAAATTCTGAAAACTAAAACAAGGTACTATCTTTTTTAAAAAATGCATTTAAGTTTTTGAGTTCTTAAACTTCACACCTTCAAGTTTTTCTACAAAGTTTTCTACAAACACTTTAAAGTTAGAAATTTGCTTTATAATAGTTAAAGACAAATATCTCTGGAATCAGCTGAGATCTAATGGATGCTAAGTGAAAATCTGAGGCTACTGTTGATCTGTGTTCACAGATTTTTACTTTAGCTGGAATCCAGACTGAGTCATCTGCTACTCCCCACTCTCAAAGCTCAAATTTTCAGACACTAATGTGTACAGTTTTGTATTTCTTCTCAGTATATGAAAATAATTGCTTCTTGTTTGTGGACATTTTTTAAACCCAAGCATTTCCTTGAAGTAACAGAAAAACATTTTTTTTTTCAATAGGCATCTGTCACTTTGATTGATGGCTCTCCTGCTGCCTCTGTACCTGTTACTGCTACTCTTACCTTGCCTGGAAAAACCCCAGTGAAGAAGACTGCACTTTCTAATAAAGAAGGTCTAATCCCCTTTGCGTTCGACATCCCTGGAGATGCTCAGATGCTTCAAGTAATGGTAAAGAAACCCCAAACATCCATGCTTAAAAGTATACCACTGAGAAGAGCTCATAAGACAATTACAAATGACTGTGAAGATGATCAATTTTCATTAAATTAGCACAGAGGGTGGAATATTATTTCTTAAACCATCTGCACAGCTTTGTCCAGGTTGTGTAAGATATGTTAGAGGGATCAGGGGCCTGAGGGATGTCTCACTCGAGTGAAGGACACTCTCATACATCAGCGCTTTGGCAGTATATGCATCAGTGGTAGTGAGGCATTTTTTGTGGTTCGAATGTGCATTTTCCTGGCATGAAGGATGGAAATGGGACTGTAAGGAATATCACCATGAGAAGGGACAGAAAATGATGCGAAGAAGGTGAAGGCAAAGGTCCTGAGCAATGCAGACAGTAAGCTACCTCTGGACACTCAGAGGGTGCGATTACGTGCACAATATAAAATGGGGAAAAAAGCTGTCTAAGTACAAAACCACTGTGATTTTGAGCCATTGATTCTCATTCAGAAAGAGACAAGGCTGAAAAATATCAAGTGCAAATACAGCAAGATATAAAATAGGGTGAGAGAATAAAGTAATTAAAATCCTGGGTTTTGATGCCAGGTTCTGCTAATGAGCTCTCAGCAGTGATTCATCTCATTTCCCAGCATTTTCTGAATAACCTGGCAAAATATGAATTGAGGGTGACACTCTATACTGTCTACTGAGGGACATTTCACTCACTCTGTGCTTCTATTCCCTGATAGGTAAAGGCTGAAGAGGGAAAAGAAAGATTAGAATCACCTGAAACCAGTATCAGAGCTGAAAGATACCAGTCTGCTTCGCCGAACTACCTCAGCATCAGCATCCCGCATACTGTTGTGGCACCTGGAGATACCTTACACATCACCTTGAAGGATATTCATCAGTCTGGCAGTGGAAAGATTGACTATTTCTATTATATGGTAAACAAAATAGTAGCACATCAGTAATTTCTTTTAGAAATTATACAACCCAGAACATCTGTCTAGTTACTAATACATGGGAAACCAGAGGGGGTCCAACAAAGGACAACTGAGATGATCAGTGTCCTAGCACACCTGTCCTACCAAGACAGGGGGACTGGGCTGGTTCAGTTTCGTGAAGAGGCTATGAGTGGGTTAATAGCAACCTAAAATTACTTGAAGAGGAATTACAGACATAAGGGAGACAAACTTTCCTAGGTGGTGCCATGCAATATAACAAGGGACAAAGGCTACAAATTATGGCCTGGAAGGTCATTTGGGAAAAATCTTTTCACTGGTGATGAATGCAATACTGGAAGAGGGTCTCCAGAGAGTTTAGGGAATTGCCTTCCTCAGAAGCATGCAACGCTTAACTAGAGAAAACCACATCTGACCTAATCTTATGCTGGTGATAGTTCATCTCAGAGCAGGCAGTTGGACTAGAGATCTCCATAGGTCCCTTCCAGAAACTATTTCTATGATTCTGTTATTGTTATATATTTGTGTATATTTGGGGGCATGTAATACACAAATATTTGTTAATTTTTCTTCTGAAGAAGGACACAAGAACAAATTTTAGCCTGTATTTTCTAATACAGTCTAGAGCAAACAGGTCCATATGGGGCAACGTTTGTCTGCATGATTATGTAGATACTTTTGAAAGGTACTAAACTGACAGCCTTGAAAGCTGAAATCCTAGACAGGTAACTTCTATGATATCTATGACAATTTGATTTCTCTTAATCCAGATCTCATTCTTTCCCATTCCTTCCAGTCTGTATTCTTTCCTTGTAACAAGCCAATATTAAATATTCTTTTTAGTGGTCTGAGTCCTATAATTACGTTTTTCAGCTGTTACAGAACTGCCCACTCTGTTGTGGGCAGATCATAGATATACATAAGATTCTGTCCCTGCAAGTAGAAAACCTAGTTGTACTCTAAGGGACCTTGAATATCTCAGAAAATGCCTTTTATAGTCAACTATTCTTTATTTCATGAAAAACACATGATTCTTATATTACCATGGCTTCATATTACCTGCACCCAATGTTAAGTTACAGGTAGGTCAGTGCTATCTCTAACAGATAATGTCCTGAAGGATCACAGAAGGCATTGGCTGTTAAAGCCCTAAATATCATCCTGAAATTGGGTCTGAAAAGCAGTTCTATAGACGGAAAAGTGAGGAAACAATCCTGCTGAGCCTGGGACCAGGAATGCAAAGTATTTGTTTTGCTGAAGGAGACAAGTGTGTTCATTGATATATTCCAGGAGTGAATCTGTTGAATGTCAAATATGTTTAATCCCCTTCTCCCTCTCTTTGTCCTCATTTCGCTTGGCTGCTTAAATTTCCCAGGATGATAAGCACCACGGGTGCCAGTTCCCATTTATTTTTAATAGGACTCTGATATATTGGAATAATTGTATCCCTAGGAGTTAAATTTAGATTTGAAGGTGTATTTCCATTGGATAATTTAGCATAGGGTTGGAATTGCTGCCGCCAAGCTCTGGGAAGGCACAGCGCTGGGCAGGCAGGGTGTGTGGGAGGGGTGGTGGGAGGCACTGCTGGACCTCGGTGGTGAGGCTTTCTCCCAAACTTGGGTCACCTAAGTGAAGCCAGTGAGGATTTCAGGCCAGGCTGCAGCATGTCTTTGTTTCTCCCTGAAGCCCATTCACTGTGTGATCAGGAAAGCCGCATGTGTTTTGTTCAGGGAAGAGCACGCTCGGTCCTGCCACTGTGTCTCTTTTCCACTCCTCTGACAACCCATGAGTACAATTAACATAGCATGGGAAGAAAGGAATTAAATAGTGAAAGACGGGCTGAAATTGGTTAAGGGGCAGTCTGTGATACTTGATCCTGAATAATACTTTTTGGACGAAACCTCCCGCTCCAACCCTTCCATGCCATCTGAGAGACTCAGTACTGATTACAGATTAAATAAAGCTGATTTCCTCCAGGGAGTGATGACCTGTTATCGTAGAAGACAAAAATAAAACTGCCATCTGGGACCCTCTTTTCAAGCTGGAAGACTGAGTGGAGGGTGGTAGATTTGTGTTCAAACCCAGGCCACAGGACCAGTGCAGCCAAGGCTTACCACCACGCTCCTGTCTTAGAGGCACTGTGCACTGGTTTGCTCCAGGTTATTGACATACAGGTTGGGAATTAAAACTATTACGTGCCATTAGAAGAGAATAAATTTTAAACAGAAATGACCTCAGAAAATTCTATATATGTATGTGAAATCGTGCAACATAATGGTCAGCCTAGTATGTAGTCACAATATTTGATTTCTGTTTGTTTCTGCCTTGCAGGTTGTGGCAAAGGGACAAACTGAGCTTTTGGGAAGGGTCCCTTCCTCAAACAAAATAATAAACCTTAAAATCACCGAGAAGATGGTGCCCGCCTTTCGCTTTTTAGCTTACTACTTCATTGCAAACGGGGGCCATCAAGAGATCGTCGCTGACTCTGTATGGGTGGATGTTATGGATGCCTGTGAAGGAAAGGTACTTTCAAAGCGAATAGGGTTTTTTTATTGTATTCCAAAATAAAAACAAGAACATGGGATATCAGCAGAACAAGTGCAGGCCTGGGGTTAAAAAGTGAAAGATATTTCATTTTTATTGAATAAGGGAGTCGGCAGGATTCTTGCTAAAAGGTATAGCTGGGAAAGGCTCCCAGGAGTGATGGTAGAGATAGCCTGCTTCCATAGGGTAGGCTGTGCCTCAAAGAGATGAAAAAAATTGTTTCATACAGATAAATGTCCCTCTGCAAGTGTCTATGTATTAGAAATCCTCAGGGAAACACCAATAGGACGGTTGAGGGGCCGAATCTCTTTGTAACTTTGTCTTTTTGTAGTGAGGTGCATCATATGAAAGAAAGCGAAGCAATTTATTGGGGGAAAAAAATTAATTTGAAGCAATTTTTCAAGCTTTTTTATTCCTGTTAAAAGTACTTTTCTAAGATTTTTGTAGCACTTCAAAAACACTTAAAAAAATAAATAGTTTACATTAGAAAATGAAATGTGGACAAAAACCTTTCTTTCACCTTCCTTCTCCTCCTTTTTGGTACCATAACATAAAATGGAAAAATAAGACAAGATAATTTTTCCCAATAGCATGAAACAAAACTGCTGAAAAGTGTCAGCCATCTAAAATTATTTTTTCCCCTGATAATCTTTGTTTTGGAAAAAGAATGTGATAGTTCATTGGGAAAAAAAGGTTTTTAAGAAAAATTATGCATCTCTAACACACAAGCCAATTCTTCTTTCATATGATTACAAAACCCAGTTTACATTCAAATTGGCATTTCTATTAATAATTCCTTACTAATTTCATGATCACCATGGTTACTTCCTCCTAAACCACAGAAGTGTCTACATCTAATAGGAACCAGGTCTGAACCCAGTCAAGTTGAAAAATTCAAGTGTGAGACAGAAAGGAAGTAGTACTATTACAGACTGGTTTAAGTCAGTTAATTTTGTACGTTAATTAGTCTTTTGCTGTATTTCATGGTGAATTTGTTTCAACCGGAAAATAACAAAATTATATTGAAGGCCCTAGTTCAGCAAACCCCTCAAACACACTTTTAATTCCCATTGGTGCATAAGTGTCATTGAAAGGCAGTGTCCAATATCTTGCATAGTCACATCTTTTAATCCCCCGCGTTGTCCTCCAGTGGGTGATATCTGCATCTACATCTTCCAAAATGCAGGATCCCAGGCAGAAACAACAGAAAACAGGAAAATCCCCCAGCCTCTGACTGCTGACAGTCACAGCTGACAGTATTCACAGCCCAAAGAGTCTTTGCTTTTTATTAACAAATGTGATATTTTTGTTTCAATCTTTTCTGTTTAGATTAAAGTGAGAACAGAACGAGAGACATACGAACCAACAGACAATGTCAAGTTAGTGATTGAAACGGACCACACGGGAACAGTTGCCTTAGCTGTTGTTGATAAAGCAGTGTTTATTCTGAACAAGAAAAATAAGCTTACAGAGAAAAAAGTAAGATATCTGTAAGAAGAAAATTACAGATCTACTAGTCAAGCAAAATTTTCCACAACTAATGAGAGGATCAGAATGTAATTAATGGCTATTAATTGCTTAATCACAGCTTTGCTAAACTTGAAAATGCTTTTGCTTTTGCAGTTTAGGATCTATTTAAGGTGAATTATACATGTAAAATGGGGATTTCCATGCTAAGGCAGACAAGTTCGTAAATTAAAAAAGCATTGCTTGAAAGCACTCCCCAACTAAAGCATCCCTTAGCTTTAATCTCAGTTTCCAAAGGTAGCTTGTACCATCAGTTTGTCTTGCTTCTGCAAATCAAAGGCTAGAAGAATGTTTAT